CCCCCCCCGTTCTTACCGGCGGACACTAAAATGAAAGTGGTAGGGCTCCCAACAAAGAAAAAACTCCCGTCAATATGCGTTTTCTGCATTGCATAGCTGCAAAAAACGCATAATTAATGGAAACTAAGCTTTCTGATTGAAAAATTTACATAAAACTTTTCCACCCTTGATAAATTTTAAAAAAATCTCTTCATGGTTCTCACTATGACAGACAGAGACACTCGGAAGTAGCCTGAGTGGTAGCAAATTGCTCAAAGCAGCCACCAACTGACAAAGCTATCGTTGACTCATTCGTTCGAGGTTGTTCTGAAGCAAACTAACTGCGATTCTCAACCAATGTTTCGATATTAGGACTAAAGAATAAATCATACAGCAATTGCCAGTTCCAGTAAAACAATACAGCTTGCGGATGGAGCTATTTGTTATTGAACCATACATGCTAACTATTCTTAAACTAATCTTCCCTTAATGTTAAGAGAAATCCTTTTCTTCACTAAGAAATTATCAAGACCATTCAGGCTATCAGTCTGAATATGACACGCAAAATTTCACTCTACCCTGCGTAGTTATCTCTTCTAACAATAAAAGTAGATATTTCATATAAAAACTCAAAATAGAATACTTAAAATATCTTTTCTTTCGAAAAATTAAAACCTCGAGCTGTAGCTCTTCCTCTCTTCCTCCCCCCACCTCCTTCCCCCTCGCCCCTTCCACCTCATCAACTGGATGTTTTCTTCTGAAATTTAATTTCAGCAACAATTTTAAAAAAAGTACTTGTTTCGGAGGACCAGATCCACTGCCTTCGGGTGATTTTCGCAGTAAAGTCGAAGTAGTTGCCGTAAGACAGGCGCTGCCTTGAGTAACAAGCCTCCAATTCGCGCATTTGTCGTGTCTTTTCCCACAGCATCGCTTATTTCGTTCAAAATTTCTCGTTGCTGAGCAATCAGAAGTTGCAGATTACCGGCCAGAATACGGAAATCCTCATCCGAAATCCTGCAGGATAGGCCAATTTTCAATTATTCTGATCATAGCGGGGCGAGGATGGAGGGAAAAGGGAGGCAGAGATGCATCTGGATGAAAAGAATCACTGAATTCTTAATTCCTCTATCGAAGGTGTGAGGAAAATAAGCAAAAACGAGGAATACTCACTTCCTCGATGTTTTGATTTTGCATAACGTGTCGGTATTAAATTTTGTGATACACTCAACATATCGTGATTCGGCATCCAGAAAGCTTTTCACCACCTGTAAAACAACTTTCTCAAGTACATATTTTTGTGATAATCATCGATAATCAAAAACGACATAGGTCTAAGTGACAGAAGTTGAACAAGCCACAGAAACTATCAGCCCGCCAAAGGTAATGCACATTTTTTACACCTGAATGGGACAAAACAGACATGGAAGAGCAGGGTAAACTCATCAAAAAGAGAAACATATCGTATTTCTGAGTGAAAGATAGCGAAAAACGTCTCAGTATCAAGCATAAAGGCTCATGTTTTTAAGCCTAAATTCAGAGGGCGAAGACGAAAACGAAAGGATAATTCATAAAAGACAGAAAATAATTGGCCAAAGCACGAGCTGCCCGTGCGAAGATGCTTTTTTTGCATAGTTCCCCGCAGTTTTTTCGCCACCAGCACCAGTTTTTCCGGCAAATGCTTCTAGCTAAAAAAATTAAGACTGGCCGCCAGAACTGTCAGGAAACACCCC